TTGTTGAAAAGAAAGCCAAGAGAAGAACAAAAGAAAGAACTGGCAGAGTCACTCTAGGCGTTTGTCCTTCAATAATCAAAACACTCATAATATCACTTATCAAAAGCCGACTAGGCTATAGTGAATGACTCTAGGAAATCCCCATGCAGTACCCTTTGATTTCAAACTGGAAAATACTTGGATGGCATCAAGAATCAACTTCTTATTGTAACAACATTCACAAGAATCTATACTCAGAAAAACTTATATATCCAACAGGTGTAACTTGCAACATCAGCAACAGACAATAACTCCAGGATCAAAAACACCAAACCAGTTGTTACTTTCTCAATATATGAAGTTGTATTACCTGTCCATCCAACGCTTGGATAGCACAAGAGGCCTCCTCACTGCTGGTGTATGTGATAAAACCAAATCCTCTGGACCTGCCGGTTTCTCGATCCACAATTATTCTTGCTGCAATGCATATTAAGTCAATCTCATATATTATCAAAACTACAATGTATCTAGATCTAACAACTTGGAATAAATCACAAAAAATATAAAAAGGATTCAGGTATGCAAGCATGAGAACCAACTGCCACCTCCTTCAATTCATCGTTAACCACCCACACCCTTAGCATACAAAGTCACAAACAGAGAAATAATCACAGAACCAGAAATGCTCATAATTCTATTGTTGCATCTAGAACATCTTTAACACATAAATTCCATATGGTGGTGCATCTTGATATATAAACCAAGCAGTCATTGTTACATTGGTGAGAGCAAAATGGGTAACAAACATATGCACTTGCAGCATTTCATTTTTCATATTTTAAAGCACCATAAGATTGCCATATAAAAAGCCACCAAGATATATATCATACCGTCAATAACTTGACCATATTTGCCAAAAGCTTCTCTCAGTTGTAATTCATCTGTGCTGTATGAAATACCTGCAACACAAAACACTATAATCTTAACACAAAACGAACAAAAGTAGATATATTGATACCACAACTTGAAAGGAAAGCTGGATTCACCTCCAATAAAAAGTTTAGAAGATGGGATTGATGAAAACCACCGTATGGCTTGATAGATGGACGGTTTGGATATAGAAGCAGACACTTCACCATTGATAATCTGCTTGCTCACTGTTTGTCTAAGTATACTCCCAACTCTACCAAAGAAAGCCATTGCAATAACTAGCCAAAAAAACAAAGTGGGTCAGAGAGAAATGCAGTGACTTTCAAAAGATATTCAATCCATAACATATTTGCAATGGAAATGAGTAGCTCTAGAGAAATGATTTATGTACAAAATAAATAAATAAAAAATGAAGCAATAACAGTATAAACTCATCCTTCTCAAAACATAACTTTCTTACCGGTCAGAATCCTGCCGGCGACCAGCACCGGACCCGGAGCAAGAAAGATGAAAAAGACGGGGAAGAAATCAGCGGCACTATCCCACGGCTTCTGTAAAACCCTAATAAATAGAAGACGAAGGAAGATATTCCATATTTCCTCCTGGGCTGAGGTTTATCTATCCGGGCTAAAAAGTTCAGGCCTTTTATCTTTGGGCCTTTCTTTTGGACCTTTTCTTTTTACCATTTTCTCAGTATAACGGAGGCGAGTCGGAGTCGGAGTCGGAGTCGGGAGGCGCCGAGCTCGGTCGGCGGAACAACACAAGATAACGCCTCTGCAAACAACAATGAATTTCGCCATTAAACCTCATTTATCTGAATTGTCAACTTCTCTCCCCAGCCGTAGAGTTCACGGGGTAAATTCATCTCTCCCTTCTCTTTTGTTCCTCAAAATCTCAATGTGTTTTATGATTCTTTGTCAGCTTCATGTTACTTTGAATCATCAAGACTGCAATTTTCATGCATTCTTATTTTGCCGTGCAGAGTAGGACCTCAATTTTGTCACCACCATCTCAGATTACCCGGGTTCGAATTTCCTTTGTAAGCAAGTCTTCCATTTCAGCTGCGTCTTTTGAACCTCAACATAAGTCTAGAACTAGAACTCAGCCGTTAATTGACCTTCTACATGACTCTGCCGATAAACGGTGTGTAGAACAAGCTAAAGCTGTTCATGGGTTTGTGATAAAATCCAATTTCTCAGGTAAAGACTTGATGGTTTTGTTGAATCATGTCGCTCATGCGTACTCTAAATGCTTGGAGTTTGATGCCGCTCGTCAGGTGTTCAATGAAATGTCTCAAAGAAACATATTCTCTTGGACTGTCATGATTGTTGGGTCGGTAGAAAATGGGTGTTTTCTTGATGGGTTTTGGTTCTTTTGGGAGATGCTGAACCATGGAATTTTACCGGATAATTTTGCGTACTCTGCTATTTTGCAGACATGTATTGGTTTAGATTGTATTGAGTTGGGTAAAATGGTGCATGCGCAGGTTATCGTTAGAGGCTTTGCAGCTCATACTGTTGTCAGCACGTCTGTTCTTAACATGTATTCAAAGTTGGGGATGATTAAAGATTCATTCCACGTGTTTAATACTATGACAGAACAGAACGAAGTGTCTTGGAATTCAATGATATCTGGGTTTACCTCTAACGGTCTTCACTTGGAAGCTTTTAATCTTTTTACTCAAATGAAGGGTGAAGAGTTTACCCCAAATGTTTATACACTCATTGGTGTTTCAAAAGCTGTTGGTCAGTTAGGTGATCTTGACAAGTGCACAGAAGTTAAACGCTGGGTTGCTGAATTAGGCTTGGAGTCTAATGTTCTTTTGGGAACTGCCTTAATTGATATGTACTCAAAATGTGGATCTGTTTGTGATGCAAGATCTATTTTTGACTCTAATTTCTCTGACTGTGGAGCTAACACACCGTGGAATGCAATGATTTCTGGCTATTGCCAGTGTGGGTGTTACCATGAGGCTTTGAAAATCTATGTAAGAATGCTCCAGAATGATATTCAACCAGATGTTTACACTTACTGTAGCGTATTTAATGCAACCGCTGCTTTGAAGAGCCTAGAGTTTGGAGAGGAAGTTCATGCTATGGTTTTGAAGTCTGGAAATGATATGATGGTTATTAGTATTCACAATGCAATTGCGGATACATATGCCAAATGCGGTGCACTTCACAATGTAAGGAGGATTTTTGACAGGATGGAAGAGAGAGATATGGTCTCTTGGACAACCCTTGTGACTGCATATTCTCAATGTTCTGGGTGGGTGGAAGGACTCACTGCTTTCTCAATGATGAGGGAAGAAGGGTTTACACCCAATCAGTTCACCTATTCCAGCGTGCTTGTATCATGTGCTAGCCTTTGCTTCCTCGCGTATGGTCTGCAAGTCCATGGCCTTTTGTGCAAGGCTGGTCTAGAGACTGAAAAGTGTATAGAGAGTTCTCTTATCGACATGTATGCAAAATGTGGTAGTATAGCTGAGGCTGGAAAGGTTTTCAATAGAATTTCAGACCCTGATACCGTTACATTTACAGCTATAATTTCAGGTTATGCTCAACATGGTCTCTTTGAGGAAGCCCTTGAAATCTTTAGCAGGATGGAACAGTTGGGCATGAAGCCCAATGCTGTCACATTTTTGTGTGTTCTCTTTGCTTGCAGCCATGGAGGTATGGTGGAGGAAGGCCTATTTTATTTTCAACTAATGGAGGAAAAATATGATTTGGTGCCTGAGATGGAACATTATGCTTGTATTGTTGATCTCTTAGGTCGTGTGGGTCGTGTGGATGATGCTATGGAGTTCATAGAAAAGATGCCAATCGAGCCTAACGAAATGGTCTGGCAGACCTTGCTGGGAGCTTGCAGGGTCCATGGCAACGTTAAGTTGGGGGAGCTTGCTGCTCAAAAAATACTTTCTGTTAAACCAGCGTTTTCAGCTACCTATGTTCTTCTATCCAACACTTACACAGAGACAGGAAATATCCGAGGTGGACTTAGTCTGAGAGACAGAATGAGAGAGCAAGGTGTCAGGAAGGAGCCAGGATATAGTTGGATATCTGTTGAAGGGAGAGTTCATAAATTTTATGCAGGTGATCAAAATCATCCTCAAAAAGATGAAATTTATGCAAAATTAGAAGAATTGGAGAAAATCAAGTCTTTGGACTATTTCTCAGACCTGAGTTATGTATGAGAAAATGTAAATCCAAGAGTAAATCTGGAAATACAACTTGAGAAAGCAGAAATTTTATATGCTTGACCGGCATCCCCTGTAAGTATAATAATCAAGTAAACAGGCAACACAACATTGTCACATGAATGATGGCCAAACCACCCTGCGTCCCGCTTATCCTTTGGATAACAACGTGCAGTCTAGACTCGAAAGACTTTATTCCTACTTTTAAAATTGATTTTTTTAAAGGTACAATGTAAAGGATATATTTTTATCATTAATATATAAAAAATATATATAAATTAATATTAATTTTAGCATTGATATTAAATAAATTAATTGAATTGAATGGACTTTAACTCCAAATAGTTTGTTCTTAAACTTTAAGAAACTTGGGTTTGTTGGTTATAATTTCAAATAAAATCAACTTCTTAAAAAATGCCTCCCTAATCTCTTAAATTATAAACTATTTAAAAAAAAATTAATTATATAGTTAATAAATTAAATTTTAACTTTAATTATATA